CATTTTGGTGAAGTGCATACTCATTAGTTCTCTTCCCCCAGCACAACAGGTACTTGAGTTTATGAACAGTTGTCATGATGTGCTTATATTCCATTTGTATGGATCTGGCAGGTTTTAACAAAGCACATCTAAGCAAGTGCTGACTAAGCAGGAACATTATTTAGGTGTCTGTCCCGTGTTTGGACAGAGCTGGCTGGTGTCTGACTGACCAGTTCTCCAAGCACTCGGCTGCTGCTGGAGCCTAGAGCAGGGTGAGGCTGAGCAGGAATGTGGTTATTGCCTCGCTGCAGTGTGGTGGCAGTGCTGCTGTGACAGGACTACTGACTTACTCCTCTGCACTCTGCATCACTTTCTCAGTTTTTCTGCTGGAACAGATGGAGTGACACATAAAACACTCTAAGTGTAATTTTGTGTAGTGCCTTGGTGAAAAAAAAAAATTGTATGAATTGATGTTCACTTGCAGAAGAATCAAATCTGTACAAATCCCACCGAGAGACCTGTAGAGTCTTCATTTTCTGTCTTTGGGGGATTTTGGTTTCATTCTCCCCAATGCCCATGTCAACTCTAATCACCAGCATGGAGCCTCAACAGGAAGGAAACAGTTTACATTAAAGACTGCTCTATTCTCAAACCAGAGGTAAAAAATGTAAAGCTATAACTGAGCAGGTGTTATCCATCATTATTGCATTTTTGAATGAAAACCCCTGCTGGGAACAATGTAATTGTTTAAAGATGTGTGGGTGATTTTGCAGCAACTTTAGATCTGTTCCAAGGCAGGTCTTGCACAAATCTCTTTTGAAATGCTGTTTGCCTCTAGGAATAAAAGGGACATGTGAGCTGTGTAATTGCTTGCCAGCCATGCAGTGAGGCAGCACCCTGCTAGACACAGACACGGGCACACCTCTTTATCTCTGAGCACCCATCAACGTGGATGCAAACAGCTGACACGTAAGCCTCTTGGCTGTGTGCTGAAGAGGTGGTGCTGGAAAAGTACTCCTGCTGGAAGTACTATCTCCAGTGTGCCCTAGCTGTTCCTTTTGCAGAGTTTGGGGTAAGTGGTATGCCTTACTTTAAACTGATGTGCTTGAGGATTGTCTGATTAGGGGCATGATCAGATTTCCTGAATTTTACACTGTGTATGTGTGCATGTTTTTATTTGCAGATCGATGCTTTTTGGTTTTGTTTTTGGTTTTTGGGGGTTTTTTTTTGCTTGTTTCCATGTATTCATCTCTTTTGCCTTCTTCCTTTTTCCTTCTTTCCATCAGCTCAGTAGCAGCACAAGAGTTGCATGTTTTGTGTAAGGCCAGTTCAGGAAGCATATTCCCTATTCCCGTATTGCACGGGGGAAATCCTGCATGCCTAGCCAATTTCCTTAATTTATACAGGAGCAAATCTGCCATAGTCTGGAATGTTTTATCACACAATAGTGCTGTCATATCTGTGTCCCAGAGGCAAAAAGATTAACCCATTAACACTGATGTCTGTAATGTGAAAGTACCTCAGACTAGGAAATGTGGGGAACAAGAAGAGCACTTGATTTGGAGAGAATCCCTTCTTGATAAGGCCTGATCTGTGTGTGTGGAGGCTCCAGAGCAGCAGCTGTACAGGCACAGCTCAAATGCTGGCTGTGGGGGTCCTGTCAGCCATGGAAAAGGCCAGTGGAGCTTTTCCAGCACTTGTTCATACCTCTTGTCCCTCTGCATACCAGGCAAAGTGCAAAGCCAGAGCTGAATGGGATTTCAGGAGGGATTTACAACAGGCAAAAATGTGGAGGGCTTGATGTGGAGCTTAAAACTGTGTCCATTGGTGATTTTTTTTTTTTTTTTTAACCAAGGAGTTCTTACTCTTAGAAGCAAGATTTGGGAACAATTTTGTTTTGGTGACCTGGTGAATTCTAATTGTATCATTAGTTTTTTTCAGAATCTTCGTTTTCTACCTACTACTCTCCTGTTATATGAGGTATGGAAAAGTGGAAGGAAAGACTGGAAAGTGTGAAGCAATAAAGCCTAATTAAAAAAAAAAAAAAAACCAAAATTGGAAGGAAATAATGGGATGGGTTTTAGTAACAGGGCTTTGATTTTTAAAAGCTTCACAGCAGTGAATACTTTCCAGTGAATCTATTCTTATTTCTGTTATGTGAAACTGAATGTGTCTGGACACTAGGACTGCAGGTCTCGGAAGTGGAGGGTGGAGATCACTTTTTAAATATTTGTACAGGGAGGAGGACAAGGCTTGAAACTGCTATGAAAATAGCTCTTTACATGTCTCCGAGGATAGGTTAACTCTGCAGGGTTTCACAAGAACCACTCCCTGGAGATATTTGAATAATAGATTGACTTTGTGGGGTGCAATGAGAGGTGTGTGCATTTCAAAACCAGAGGAGAAAATTTCCTTCTCAAGCAAACCTTTTAGAAGACATTTTTAGAACCCTTCCTGTGAAGGGTTCCTCACCCTCTGTCAGTCCTTTGGAAATTGTATTTTGTTCCAAGCACAGGGAGAATTGAGTGGACCAAATGATGAGGCGTGTTTGTCCTGACAGACACTTTACAAATCAGATATGACACTAGTAATACCTTTTTTTGCCTAGTCTTGACCTTTCTGTTTTGGCCAGAGCTTTCACACAGCCCTGTCCAGTGGAAGGTGCAGCTGAACTGTAACAGTTCCCTACAGCTCTGTGGCAGAGCTGCAGTGCCCTTCCTTCCTCTGTGTGGTCTTGCTGATAGTAAATCAGCAGTGATCAGCTGCACTGTCATTGGTGCTTGTTAATAAAAGTGTGTTCTGTACACCTATAGCCACCCAACAGAAAACCTCTGTGCAGGTGGCATAGCACAGTAAAAGGCATGGAGCAAGCCTGTCATCATGTAATATACTGGCCCTAAGATTTACATCTAAGTTTTTAAAAGCAACAATTAATTTAGGGATCTTGAGACTGAAAGAACATGTGCTTGAGTAGAGGATGAGCTTACACAGCTCTTAGCCCTTTGAGAACATGAGGGCAAAGGAAACACCATGTGTGAGACGGAAGTCTAAATAAAATGCAGTCTTTAAAAAAATCCATCTCAGTTTTTTAAAATACTTTTCCTTTTCTTCTGGTACATTTCAATGAAAAGACTTTGGCAGAGCTACAAGATACGTGATCTGGTTTTACTTTTTTTTCCCTTAGCCAACAGGAGAGAGGATTTAAAAAATGAAACAAGTGCCCCAAAATTATTCTTGCTGATACATGTGAGTGTGTCTAATGGATCAGGGTTCTTAATTTCTTCTGAAAATGTTCTTATGTCAGTGTTTGTGCTGCCTGTTCATCTTGCTTACTTGAATACATTGCTCCCTCAGACCTATGATGTGGTTGCAGTCCTGCAGTTGTGGTGCATTTTTGTAAAATGCTCACTGATAATTTTTGCTGCAGGGCTCTCCCTTTCAGCCTTCTACTCTATTGCAAAACTTTGGTTAAAACACAGCAGTAGGATGTGAATTAGCCAGCTGTGGGGTAGTGGTGAGTGTGAACTCTGTCACCTAAACCCCCTTCCTGCAAGCTTTTACTGGCATCGATGGCATAATGTGAAATACACGTTGGCTGGGAAAGGGAGACTTCAGTGCTTTTCAAAAATGGAAAAACGTGTTAGCTGCTTTCCACTGACTCTTCAGCTGGAGAATATCTGGGGTAAATCTGACCAGTCTCTGCTTTTTAGTAAGCTGCTTATGGCCACATCAAGCAGACACAGTTCTGACTTGTAACCAAGAGCGGGACCATTATAAAGGTGTGAAGCTTTTAAATGGTTATGGTTTTAGCTGAATGGTGGTGATTGACGCCCACATGCTGGAGACACAGTTTGTTCCAGACCTCAAGCTGTGAGTTGATATTCAAGAAATTAATTGGTGTTTTGCCATTGATGTAAACTACTGCAGTGTTTGGCTTGAAATTAATATCTTTATCTAGTTCAAGCTACAAGTAGTTTCAAAAATACTTACAGTTGAAACAGCAGATATTACTCTTTCAAAATTTTATTTCATAGTCTTTTTTTTTTTTTGTATTTTTAGCATCTTTTTCTGTCCTTCATAAGAGGCAATTTTATGCCGGTTTTCTGTTGCTTTTAGAGTGGTTATTTTGGGCTTATCTTTTCATGTTCATGTCTTTGAACACAGCACAAGGCAGCTCTCTACTGTTTGTTTTGGGGGAGGGAGGCTCGGTAGCTACTCAACAGGAAAGTGCCAGTGCACTTACATCAGCTTTTCTAGTACACATGAAATATTCCAGTGATTTTTGTTACACATTTTAGTTGTTCCTGCACTTAGATCAGACTATAGAGAATATGGTTATTTTTAAAAAGGGAGAAAAAAGAGAGAAATTTCTTAAATGTGTAATGAGCCATGGAAAAAAATGTGTGTTTGTTTAATGTCAATTCAGGATCAAGATTTAGTTTGAGTGGCTAGCTAGCATCACAACACAAACTTTAAAAATTGAGAATTCTTCTTCAAAACAAAAACCTGAAGGTTTTTTTTTCAAGACTAAAAAATTAGCTATTAATAGAAAATTACTTTAAAATTTGTTTAAATATAGTGGACAGTCCAGGAAAAAAATTCTTTTTTTTCATTTGTTACTAATGCCATAGTGAGTACGAAAATTGCATTGCTAGTACAATTAAGAAGCTTTTGCCAGCTTCCAGGAGGATTAAAAACAGTTCTGCAGTTTCTGTTCCAGATACCTTGAATAGTTTAACCTTGATTTTCAGTCTTGCCTGAAGAAGTCAGAATTGTGTTGCCTTCCCTTTCCAGTAAGAGGAATGCAATAAAACTAAAGATGCACTTTTTTCAGTCACAGCTGCATTTGATATTGGTAATTTGTGCAATTGAGAGTTTAAAGTGAAGTTGGTGTAAAGGAGCACAGAACTGGCCCCACCACTTGCTGCTTTGTAGTTCAGGGAGTGATTTGTGTTTTAAACATTTGTCAGTCGTCCTGGCAGAGTCTGGACTAACTGTTCCTTTTTGCTTTGCTTTTTAAGGTGCCGCCTGAATTCTCACTATGTCTGATGGGGACTACGATTACCTCATAAAATTCCTAGCACTTGGTGATTCTGGAGTAGGAAAGACCAGCCTTCTTTACCAATATACAGATGGCAAATTTAATTCCAAATTCATCACAACGGTGGGCATTGACTTTCGGGAAAAGAGAGTGGTGAGTTTATATGAAATGTGCTACTTGAAAATGGTGTCTGTCTGTGTGCAGGCCTGCAATCAGTGTTATTGTGTGCTTCATTCTGTGACAGGAAAGGCCTCATCTGACCTGGCTGTATTTGTCATTGCTGTGTACAGACTCATTTCCCCAGAAGTTAAAGAGCTGACTTTAAGAAACCATTTCTTTCTGCTCAGCAGGTGTTGATGAGTGTGTCAACTCTGTGACTAGTGCACACAGGACCTGGAGTAGCACTTGTACTGTTGAACTCTTTTCACCAGGAAGGACTGAACTGTAGTAAAATGTTTTTGCTGGGTATGAACTGAAATGGCTACTGAACAATGGTGCAGTTTTTTAAATATGCAAATTAAATGGTACATGCAGCTGATCTGGCTTCTAAGCAGTCACCACTAGCAGAGAAAAATTATGAAATATAAGGTTGCTTTTTTCAACCCCTGAATTGTTATTAAACTAAGCAAATGTACTTCTCATATGAAGCTGAGCACTAGAATGCCATAACCAATTGGATGCTGGTCCTTACTGCTCTGAGAAATGGAGTTGGCACAAGCTTTTTGTTGTTATGTACAGCTATTAAATGTCTTTCATTGTAGCCTGGTGATTTCCTGTGTCCAGAAATCTGGATGGGGTAATGGGCATTGTGCAGACTGGTTTTTGGTGCATGACATGCACCACAGTATTTCAAGGACTATACCTTAGTTCAATGCCAAACTGGTCCCTTGAATAAGTCAATCTCCCTTTAGTGGGATCGTAAACATGGTGGTTTACTTGATCAGCATATTTGATAACTCAGGATAAGGTTTAGGCTTCAGAGCTTGAATCTTATAATACATAAACTTGCTGAATTTGTGGAATTCTGAAGATCTGTTTGTAGCTCTTGTAAGCTTAGATACAATGACATTTGAAGGTAACGAAGATGACTTAACTTGAAGCATTCTAAACAAGAAATGAATCTATTTTTATCTGATCCTTCCAAGACTAATAAATGCCCTTATTTATTTTTTCATGCTGAGCAAACTCTTCAGCTTTTATTTTTATCATCCAATTTCTGCTTTATAAGCTGTGATCTGATAAGATCTACCCTCAGCAATTTTTCAGCAGCATTTTGGCAGCTAAGTAGAGATGTCATTATCTCTTGAGTATATCCTGTTTGCAAATGAGGTTCTGCTACTACTACAAATACATTGCCAGATGGCATTGTTGCTTTCTTATATTTTATTTTGAACATGATGTAAGGTAGTAAAAAACCCAGAAAATCAAAATATGAAAATTAATTTTGTCTCGTGGCTCTAAATATCTATCTGGAGTCCCTAGTCTATTGGGCCCTGGTTTTGCAGTTTCCCTTTTACCCTTATTTTTAAATATTTAATTGGATGCAATATTAAAATGTATCTCATACTACTTTTGCCTTACAAAGCAGAGGATTGAGTTGTAGTTGGCATCTGTGCATCAGCAATGCTAATTTTGCTGCATTTAATGACTTCAAATGTCAGTTCTTTTGTGTTCTGTAGCAGCTGGACTGGTAACAGTCCTGCAAATTTACCTCTTCCAGGTGTACAGACCCAATGGGCCGGATGGTGTTGGTGGCAGAGGACAGAGGATCCATCTTCAGCTCTGGGACACTGCAGGGCAGGAAAGGTATGGCCCAAGATTGCAATGGGAGCTTACTGTAACAGCAATGGAAAGCTTCCCATGGGTACCCAGTAAATTCTAACTGTAATTTACAACTGTAGAACACAAAACCTCTAATTCTTGCTTTTTAGTCTTTTTTTTTTCATAGCCAGCACATATAGATACTTTTAAAGCTTGTCTTTTTAAAGTTCTTTGAAATTTCTGTAAATATTTTGATGTCTTGGGAAAGTCAGACAGGCAAAAGCATCTCAAAGGATTCTTTTCTATTGGCCTATCAAAAGACTAGTATTCTTGTAGTTGTTAATCCTACATTCAAGGACTGATGTGTATAGGGGATAAATTTTTGTTCAAAGTTAGAATTTCATTATTGTTTTAATTTTTGAATCTTGATCAAGGCATGCTTTATAGTGGAAGACTGTTTAAAGCTCTCACACTCAAGTCTCCTTGATCCCTTAGGCCTTGATTAGGCCACAGCAATGTTAGCAATTTTTCTTACACAGCCCCTGCCTCAGCAAAACAACTATGAATATTTCCTTCTGGCTCATTCAGTCTTAAGTTACCTCACTTCTTCTATGATTGTAAGCAATTATGTTTTCCAAGTAACTTGTCAGATGAGCAAATTAATTTCTCTTTGCTGGTCTAGGTTTCGTAGCTTGACTACAGCTTTCTTCAGAGATGCCATGGGGTTTCTTCTGCTCTTTGATCTGACAAATGAGCAAAGCTTTCTGAATGTCAGGAACTGGATAAGTATGGCTCTTTTTTTTTTCTTTCTTTCTTTCTTTGCATGGGTGAAATGGGGTGTGGGGGTTATGTTTGTAAATATGGAGTCTCACTGAGAATTAGAGCTTAAAATACTGGTTTTTATGGCTTTCTCGGTAAAATAATGTAAATGTTGTATTATAATTCTAATAGCTGCTAGTGATGGCTTCTAGGGCTTGCCTGAAATTCAGCTTTGCCTACTGAACTTGGATTTTAACCTATATAAAAGATAACTGAGACCATATCCTATCCCTGGCTCTGGTGCTGTTCAGTAATTTAAGTGTGTGGGAAGCCTATGCTAAAGTATTTTGGCTCACCTGAAGCTTTGTCAGCAAAACATAATGGAAGGCAAATCTTACTTGGCTGGTATATCCAGGCAAAGGAGTTCCCAAACTGCATCATCCATCTGTAGAGGGAAGCAGATCCTTTCCTGGCACTCACTGTAGGTGCTTAGTGAGTGTAACTCCTTCAGCTGCAAATGCACAGGTTTCTGTGCTAACTCTGCCCAGGTTCTGTTTGCCTGGGTTTTTCCCTGGGTATGTGACAGTGGAAGCCCACCTGTTCTGTGGCTCCTCAGGCCAGTGGAGCAGGGCTGTGAGCCAGCAGAGCAGGCTTGGTGTGTGGTAGTGTTCCTAGGGCAGTGTGTGTGAGAGTGACTCGTGACCCTCTTCATGTTGGTGCTGCCAGGTCAGCTACAAATGCATGCCTACTGTGAAAACCCAGACATTGTGTTATGTGGAAACAAGAGTGACCTGGAGGACCAAAGGATGGTGAAGGAAGAAGATGCTAAGGAACTTGCAGAAAAATATGGGTAAGTAACTTTATTGCAATTATTGCTGTGTTTAGAGCAGAATGAAATATTTTCTGTAATACTTTTTTTCTGTATAGTGAAAGGTTATTGTGAGAATAAGCATTTTAGAATGCTTAACTGCCTGATATGATATCTTTTTTCTGTATGCGTTTATTATTTTCTTCATTGCTCAAAAATAAGTACTTAGTATTGCAGTAATCTTGCAGAGGAGATTGGGTCATCTTCTTTGCTTGGCAGTAAACAGTGTAAATTTTCACAAACTTTCTGGAAAAGAGAGAGAATTTAGAGAGGCAGGTGAATAATGGGGTCTCTTTGCTCTTACCTGTGCTGAGGCATCTGCACTCTCACAGGCTCCCAGGGAGTCTGAAAACTGAGTCAGCCCAGTAGGAAGGCAGGGCAGCCTTGCCCTTCCCCTTCCTGCCAGGCACGGGTCATGTGCCTCTGAAGGAAGTGTGTGAAGTCTTTGTTCCTATCAGATATTAATTTGTACTTTTATACTCCCTTAACTCTTTCATGGGGCTTATCTTTGGATTACCTTTGCTTTTCACTGAGAATCAAAAACACATTTCTGAAGGAAGTCATCTGATGCATTTGTTGTGTTTTAATTCACATGGTGGAGCAATTTTCTAGCACATGAACTGGACTTCTTCTCAAATGAAAGCTCAGTTAAATGATGTGCTCCAACCACTAATCCACCTTTGTCTGGAGGGATAGAGTAGAACTGCTCCAAAGTAAAGCCCACAGGGCAGGCAATAGTGGGAACACTGGCTCCTCAGTGCAAGCTGCCTTGTTCTGCAGGTCTTCTGCTGTGTCATGATGTTTACTAGGCAAAATTAGTTTGCCTTGGCCTTAAAGAATCATTGGAGGCAAATCAGAAGCAATCTGTCTATGAGAGAGAAATGGTTTAGTGCAGTAATACTTCCTTACTTTTTCCTTCTGTGAAAATGCTTGTTTGAAGTCAAGTCCATGTCACACAGACAGCAGCAAGTGCATGTGGTACTTTAACCAGCTGCTTGTGAAGGAGCAAGAAGTTTTAAACAGCAGCTGATAGCATGTGACCATATCTTACATCTCTTTGCATGTGACTTCTGAAAATGATTTATGAGGTATTTATCTTTGTGGTGAAAATGCAACTTAATTTAGGAATAGTGAGCTAAAAAAGCCAAGGTTGTGGGTCACATCCAATCTGTAGGCAGTTATGAAGTTCTCTGCCCTGTAGAGGTGAGACGGGATGGCTGCTATGAGTCACTTTCTCATGAGGGAAGGAAAGATAAATCCTGCTGCAGTGAACAGTCTTCTGGTAACTAAAGTGTGAGATAGTGAATGTCCCCTTCTGTGGAAGGGCCTCATATGGAAATGTGGTGTATTTGAAACAGATTGCAAGAGACCTGCACAGACACAGCAAGAGACTTTTGGCCACTCATTGTGTCTTGCAAGTTAAGTAAGACATACTTAAAATTCTGAAGTGATGGTATCAGTTTCCTGGGCAGTAACACAGATGCAGCCACTGTAGCACCACACTGTGGGGAGCACTCTGTACAGAAAGCAATAGCTGCAGATCCACAGTGGAACATCCTGAGCCACAACAGTGAAGAAACAAGCAATGTACTTTAGAAACCAAGGTGCCAGAAACTTTTCTTAACAAAGACATAGATGCTCTGAGCACTGAGGTTTCTTCTTTTATGTAAGAAAGTTTAGAGTTGTGGTGTCAATAGAAGAAAGTCACCTTCTGTAGTGATGAGTACCACCACACTGTGAGTCTTTAGTGCCTTACCTGCAGAGGAATGGCTGTAGCAGCTTTCCTTCTCCTGTAATTACTTTATATGTCCTTGTGTGCACAAATGTTCTCCTCACTGATTTCTATGCACATCAGCTCTGGAGTAACTGCATCTCTTGCAGGGAATGGAGTTAAAAAAAACAGACCTCAGGAGGACAACTTTGGGAAATCATGCTGACAAGTGTCCCTGTAAATTGTGGACTCCATTAATGTTTGCCCTTCTGCCCTACCTCCAGTCAGCTATTTCATTAATTCCTTTTGCATTTCAGACCACTGAGCACTTAGTGTCTCTCTGCTATGGAGTAGCAGTGACAGTCTTAGTGTGCAGTAGTACTGTATTTTTTTTTTCTTCTGTGAGTGACAACTGTATGATGTAAGGTTATATTTTTTGTCTCCTGCAGAATCCCATATTTTGAAACCAGTGCAGCAAATGGGAATAATGTAAGCAAAGCCATTGAAACTCTGCTTGACCTCATAATGAAGCGCATGGAACGATGTGTGGATAAATCCTGGATCCCTGAAGGGGTGGTGCGCTCCAATGGGCACAGCTCTACAGAACAACTGAATGAGGAGCAAGAAAAAGGCAGATGTGGCTGTTAGCCCAGTTACAATTAACTTTCATGTGTATGATTCAGTACAGTTGCAGCTTACCTGTTTAACTTTGGGACAAATTGCTTTGTGTAGTTATTTAATGAGCTATATTAATTCTTTGTAAGAATTTTTGTTTGCTTTCTCTCAAACAATGTTGATCTTCATTTGTAAGGTATGCAGTTTATTAGCTTTGGGACAGAGGTTCAATTTGGTTTAGCACTGAATGTTCCTCTAATTCTCTGCTTGGGAGGAAAGGGGAAGAAAGGAATTTTCATTACCAAATTCAGAAACATGTCTCTGTGGGCAGCCAGAAAGGGTAGGCTTGAGTTGAAGGATTTGCAGTTGCCCTTGGCAGTCTCCATTAACTACACAGAGTAGGCATTTAGATTAGATATTGTGACAGCTCTTGGTGTCTCCTAACAACAAGATAACCAACTTGCTTCTTGGTTTTAAACAGAAACATTTAATCATTTCACCATTTAATAACAATCTTAAAGAGCACATCCTGTGTTTTCCACAAAAGCCTGAGAGTAGTTTTTTCTTGCTCTCCTAATCCATCAGTTTTCAGTGATGAAAACCAAAGGGAAGCACTTCAGTACAGAATAAAAAGCTCTCGAAAAGCACAGGGGTGTGCACACAGAGCACTTGGGGCATGTCATATAATTGAACATGTAAACTACAACTGTACTATGTGAAATACATCCAATGCAGCCTGTGAGATCTCCTGACATCATTTGAATTTCTAGAACATGCATGTATGTAAATTTATAAGCAAATGAAATAACTGTGCATCTGTTATGTTTCTTTCATATTGCTACTCATGTTTTAACAGGAATGTAGGGCAACCTAGATGTCAGGAAAATTTCGTCAGAGTTGGTGCTTTGCACTGAATTTGTTTTACCAAACACAGATTGAGAATGTTTCTTCAAATTTGGATTGAGAAATGAATGATTATTGTCTTCTGGTGAGATGCAGCTAAGATACTAGACCTGTAGATCAGTATTTCTATGACTTTATAATGCTCATGTTATTCTGCCAACCTTTGAGTCCTGAACATCTTGGTTACCATATAGTAATTTATGGCTTGTTCATTTCCTTTAGATTGTATTTTAAAAAGAATATAGTTATTTTTCTCTCCCCCCAGCTATGGATCACATAAATGTAATTTTTGGTTTCAGTGGATCATGTTACTCTAACCATTTTTATTTATTCACGTGCCCTAGGAAACAATCAGTATTTTTTGGGCTTTTGCCCAGACTGATTCATAAGATGTGCCTACCAAACTGTTTTCTACCCTGGCAGAGGTTGTATAATTGTAAGGTATTGCCAATTAAAATCATAACATGCCAAATTGAGTCTTGTTACAGACCTTCCAGAGCAGCTTGTTTACAGAACTCCAAAGCTATTGCTTCTTTAGAAATTATGTATTTATTTATTTAAATATTCTAACTACTGCAATTTCAGACAAGTATTGATACCAGTTATGAACATGAATTGCAGCATTACAAAATTTTTGAAGGAAGGACCAAAAATGTTTCTAGAATAGGCTCTAAGGAAAAATATTTGATGTAGCTTCTGGTTATATTAATTAATACAAGAGTAAGTATTTAAACTTGGTTCTTAAAATATTTTACACAGTAATGCATTGTTCTTTAACAAACACAATGTGTAAATATTAGATTTTTATCACAGCCTACACAGAATATTTTAAAAGTGCAATATAATTTGACTGCTCTGGGGCTAGGACAGAGGTAAAAGAAATTTATATGAGTATAGGGTTTTGGTTTTTTTCTACTCCACTTCTAAAATGCTTGTAGACCGGAGTTACTGTAGTTTAATTCAGAGTGCCTTTTGAAGTTACCATCATGTTTCTGACCAGTAGAGTAAGAAACTCTAGTGTAAGACACAATACATTTCAATGTACTTCAGTGTCTGAATTTCTTTTAATGTGACTCTTTGGTTTTCAGAGGGTTGCAGTGGAACTTTGTCATGCATTAACTTAAAATGGGAGTTTTTGTGCTTATAGCTCCATCCAGTTCCTGAAAACTTTAAGGATTATTGCAACCAGCTATTGAGCTAAGTGACTACTGAAATAGTGTAAAAATATTTCCTTTTGAATACTTACGTTTAAATTGGATATTAAATATTAAATACTGAAACTGTCATATTTGTGTCATGCCTATTATTTGTAACTATTTGCAAAGAGGATCTACATAAAATTCCTTTGATGTCAGCCTTTGAAATGTGCCATAAGATTTATCTGTTTGAGTTATTGTGTGACAAAACTTTTGTTCCCTTTTAAACTCTCATGAGAAATCATAGTAAATGTTTCTTGACAGTAAATTACACTGCTCTTACTAGACTAGTACTGGTTTTAAGAAACAAAGAAACAAGAATTCTTAGGGGATGTGTAACTGTTATTTCAAGAAAAGTTGTTTCCATTCAGTGTCAGATGGAGACATTTATCTGTAATTGAACAAAGTTTTGGAAAGTGTTTCCATTAAGATGGATTGTCCCAGGATTTCTTAGAATAATATAAAATAGTTATACATTCCTGACATGAACCTTGCCAGCACTGTTGAACTGAACTGTAACATCTCCTGTTGTTCAATGTCAGTCCGTGTCCTGCGCTGTCCCTGGGTGTTGTGAGACTTCTTTGTTCAGATGTGTCCAAGGTCTGTGCTGTGGTTGAGGTACTTGGTGACCCTCTCTTCCACTGGGCAAACCAGTCAGACAGGAGCCTGGTGAATGCTGGGTGATGCCAGGAGGAGCCCAGACCCAGAGAGGACAATGGAGCCATCAGTTCTGTGTTCATGAGACGTTCAGAATGCCGCTCATCTGAGCGTGTCGTGTGCTCGGAGCAAAGGGAATCAAGCCATGCATTTTGTCAACTTTATTGCTTCTACAAAGGTAAGGAGCCTGATTTTTCAGAGTAACTGCTTCCATCAAGAGCAGTGTCTATTACCAGGTAGGTTATAATGTGCTGGAGGGCAGTGCTGCTATTCAGAGGTTCCTTGACAGGCAAGAGAATGAGCTGAACTAAACCTCATTCATTTTAAAAAGGGAAAGTGTCAAGTGTCACTGGCTATTCCCCCTGGGCTGCAATAACCCTATGCACTAGTGCTAGCTGAAAAAACATTTTTCAGATAAGGGGATGAGCATCCTGTTCCAAAGGAGACTGACCAAAACACAAAAGTGTGCTACTGTGGCAGAGAAGGCCAGCTGTATCCAGGGCTGCACTGGTAAAATGAAGGTGACAGGTTGGGAAAGTCAGTCTTTCCTTATCTTCAGTAATTGTAAGATTGACTGGAGTTCTGTGCCCTCTTTTGGACACCTCAGTAGAAGAAAGACATTAACACATGGAGTGGGTCCAGCAGATGCCTCCAAGATCAGAAGGCTGGAACACAAGGGGTAGGAAGAGATAGAACAGAGTTTGCTTAGCTTTAAGCTAAGGGAGACCTTTCTGCTGTCTTTGAACTCTAATGGGTGGAGCCAGACCCATCTCAGAGGGCACAGGGATAGGAAAGAGGCAAGAGAGAAATGTTCTCTAGGAAATTAAGATTATTAAATAGTAGGAAAAGATTTCCCCCATAGAAGTGGTCAGAAATTGGAACAGGAGCTCAGGAAGATTATGGAGTCTGTCCTTGAAGACACTAAAAGCTAAACTGGATGTGGCCTTGAGCCTGATATTAATTTGTTCTGCTTTGAGCAGGGCTTTGCTCTAGATGACCCCCAGAAGTGTCTTCTACCCAACATGATCATATGTCTCTGAAACTGATCCTACAAGTACATTTGCCTGACAGTTGTTTATTCTTTCACATGACTGTAAAACAGTTCTTTTACTTCTATTAGGAAACTTTTACAAGTATGTAAATACTTGCAGATCAGAGCTTTGCTGAGTTTAAGGTGAGTTGAGATGTTTGGTGAAACAGTTCTTGCTGTAGTAGTCTGTGTCAAAAACAAATGAGCCACTTGGTTTGCTGTAAAATCTCTTCTTCCAGTGAGGCTGTTTTTCACCTGGATACCTAATTCTGTCTGTGAATAACTATTAATGGAGTAGAAGTACATATTTGTTTTCTATAATTAATCTGGATTCTGTCACCAGCAACCTTCAACCTATATTGCCTTTTAGTCAGGAACAAGCACTTCAAATCTACAGCATAATGGCTTGTAGAGAAGATTAGTGCTTTGATGTGAAAAAAAGAGCTGGGAGTGGTAATTTAATGTTAAATGCTGGTATTATCACTGTGCACTCACATTCTGTCTGCTGGATGTATTGGTGACAGTCTGTAATTCAAAGTGTTTAAACTGTAGAAGTCACCAAACACTTCACCACACAGTGCTCTGCCAGGAAAAGTGAAATAAACACAGCCCACGGGGAAAAAAATGGCATAGGCAGGAAACTCAGAGTAATCAAACTGAAAAAGGAGAACAGCCTGGGACCTAATCAAACTTGTTTACTATTTGTTTTTTCCTGTAGTTGTAGACTTGTCTTCATAGCTTCCCTGATAAAATTGGATTGTGTGTGTATCTTTAACATCTCCTCTTCTCGCCTGGGTTGCCATCCTCAGTCCCACCTCAGAGCCCTCGCTGGCTGCAGTGTGAGAGCCATTGACAGCCTGGCCACCCCTGTGCTCCAGCCCCGCTCCCTGCAGCAGACGGGGCTGAAAGATTGGAGGCAGCCTCTGTGCAGATAAGGTGACTCCACTGTGCTAAAGCAAGTTTTCTTTCTTCCTCTGATATTTCTTAATACAGCACCAAGCTGACTGCCTTTCTTTTCTTGTTCTAGAAACCAGAAAGCAAAAAATGCTTTAGAAGCACATGCAATTTCAACACATGGATTTTTCACCAGATACCAGATGCTCATTTAAATTTCTTTCAAATGGAGAGGCAGGAATTGTGGTGGTAAACACTCTTGTGGTGAGGAGGATTTCAGACTCAGAGCTGGGACAGCATCCTACAATTGAAGAATAGAGAGAAGACCTCCAATTCCAAACAATTTGGACGGTACAGGGCCTAGTATTTAGGTCCTTTCACAATAAACAGATAACTCTAGGAGAGGGAACAGAAGGAGTAACAGGTACCTACCTATATGATATGCAGAACCATTGGTTTTAGGACTTCAAATTTTGGTGAGATTTTGGATTTTACAGATATGAAAACTGCACAGAAAGTGTTGTCTGAATTTTACAGTAAATTACCTGTAAATTTAAAAATCTATGTCTAACTCCCTTTCTTTTCCTTGGGTTACTCTGTCTATCCTTATGTCCGTATGGATTCGTTAATTTCTTGCCCTTGGAACACAATTTTTCCTTTATAAACAGAAGCCAGGGTCGTGCCCGTGTGGGCCGGCGGCGGGGCCGGCAGGGGGCGCTGCGGCGGCGCTGCGGGAGCCGGGCCCGCCCCGCGCCTCCGCCTCCGGTCAGCTGGGTCGCGCTTCCGCCCGCGCCGCCGCTGCCGCCGCCATGCGTATCGAGAAGTGCTACTTCTGTTCGGGGCCCATTTACCCGGGACACGGCGTCATGTTCGTGCGCAACGACTGCAAGGTACCGCCCGACCGGCAACGCCTTGCCCGCTGTGCCCGCGGCCGCTCCCTGCGCCGGCTCGGCCCGTGCGGGCGGGCCCCGGCGGGGCTCGGTGTCACCGACCGCGCCTCACGCGGGGCGCTCACGGCCGGAGCCCATGTTCCGGGCCGGGGCCGCTGCTGGCGCTCGGCACCGGGCCCTGCCGGGGTACAGAGCACGGTGCTGAGAACACCGAGGCTGTGGTGTGGGTTCGATCCCTGTACGGGCCATTTGCTTAAGAGCTGGAGTCAGTAATCATCTTGTCTCTGGGTCCGTTCCAACTCTGACTATTCTGTCAATCTGTGAAATTCATGTCTTACTGATATTTAAATATTAGGACCGGGAGCGATGTAGTCATTTGGCAGGTGCTGTGGCCGTCGGCAAGAGTGGTGGGTGAATGATTTGTTTTCAGTTTTTAGTAAGAAATAATACACTTACTTCGCTGAGCAGCACAGAATGCTCACTCTTAAACTCAGACTTTGGTTCCAGGTGGCAGCAAGCTCGGCTCTGGGCAGTGCGGGGTGCAGAGTGCGGGGCGGGCGCTGCGGGAGGAGCGGTGGCTGCGGGATCCGCTGTGGTTCCCCCGGCTGAGGCTGTCGGGGCTCTGCCGGCCTGACAGCTCCGTACACACAATGCTGGGTATCGCCTCCCAGCCTCTGCCGCGCTCCGTGCCGGTGCTGCGGGGCGTGGGAGCGCCCGGCGTGCGGCGAAGCTTGCGCACCTCGCTTCCCTCCCGGGCCCGGGCGGCCGGAGGGATCGCGGGCTGAGGCACAGCGCCGGCGCTGGCAGCGCGCACTGCGGCCGCGAGGGGCGCTCTCAAACGCATCACTTGTGAACAGATCATCCCTGAAAAGGCAAAACGCCGTGGCAGGTGTGCCTGAGCCGAGGTGAAAAAACGTCGTAGAAGAGTGTTAAAAAAAAAAAAAAAAGCTATTAGAAGATGATTGCTGTAATTAAAAGTTTCATATTTTCTATTAAATTTATTTAGAATTTCTATTAAATTGTAGAATTTAGAATTTCTATTATTTTTATATTTAATTTTTATAATTTAAATTTAATTTTTAATTTCTATTAGATTTTAGAATTTAGAAGTTCTATTACATTTTTTTAGAATTGACTACTAGATGGAAAGGAGGATATGGCTGTAGAAAAATAGGGTTTTCAAAACCTCATGAATAACATGTAATTCTGACTGTTTTTAAGTGAAGACTCTAGTATTACATAGAATATGTAGAAAAATAGGGGAAAAAGAAAAAGGTCAATTAAAAGGTTTTGTCGTATGCTTTAACAGCTTTCAGTAATTTCAGTCCAGGACTTAACTAATGTGCTTAGGACTCCTGCAGGGTAATCTTTGGGGCTTAGGGCTGCATCCCAGAAAACAGACGTTTTTGTCTGTGTGTTGCATTCATTATGAGAGGTGTGAGGATTTTTTGTTGTTCTCAGGATGGTACTGTATCTAAGAAGTGCTGGCAGCTGTGGAAAACTGTTTATTCATACTGCAGGTTTGGCTTTATGGTTATTTTTGCAGATGATAATTCTCAAAACTCAGGTGTATTTTATGTATAATCAGCTTAATTGTAAGTACTTGTGCTTAACCCTGG